CCAGATTTAAATGGCTTAATGGTTGAGCAACTGTCCCCTCACAGGGCACTTTTGTGGGATTTCAGGCCATTGAGCGTGAGATGATTCACGTCTTCTACGTCTTGGTTGATGAGCTTGGATGGCTGATGTGAAATTCTTCCATTTCCTCGTTCCTCCAGGATTTCCTGCTGTCCAAGTATCGTGTCATTATTCTTGACGAAGCCCACGAAAGGAGCGTGTATACCGACATCTTAATTGGTCTTCTATCTCGCATCGTGCCTCTTCGAGCCAAGGTAGAGAAGACAGAATGATTAATGAAATGGAAGTAGTGTTGTCCCATCGGGCTTAGTTTAATTTGGGACTTTACGTGCCTCGCTTCTCAATCAATCCGATCATCTATCCGCCTGAAGGCCAGGTAAAACCGTTGCCAGATTTAAGGCCAAGCAAGGAGCAGGTGGGAAAAATTGGCCGCTGGGTTTTGAGCATCGTCCTGGGTCGGGGAGAGACCGTGGGATAACTCACTGCGAGCTCTTTCTCTCCCCCCCTCCCCGTTCCTCCTTCTCGTTCCCAAGAAAATCTTTGAATCTTTAGTTCTCCCATTAAAAGTCCAACCTTCCAGTCCTGTCTTATGTTTGTCCGTTGCTAGAAAGGGCAGCCGCTGAAACTGATCATCATGTCTGCTACGCTGCGAGTGGAAGATTTCACTGCTAACCAGAAACTCTTCCCCGTTGCTCCTCCGGTTATACAGGTGAGACGTGACCGGGGGGAGGAAAAGGAAATGAAGTTTTTGCACATGGACCCAACAGACTTCCTTCAAATCTCTATTAAATCCTAACCTTCCTTTTGCCACTCCCACACCCAGGCCTTCACATTTCTATCTAGACTTTAGTTTGGTAAAGACAAAGTCTCAAGTTGAGTTCACCACTTGGCCAAGCTATTTTATTCTGCTTGTGGAAGTGCCCTGGTCACCATATGTGTCTTTGGACTGCCCTGTCTACTATTGTGGGATTTCCTTGTGGTGTCCCATCCATCTTAACCATGCTCAACCCTGATGAGTTTTTTCAAGATGGCCAAAGTCACTCAGGGATAACATACTAGCACTAGGGAAAGGCGTGGGTTCAGAAGCCCATTCCCTCTGCGCAAAACGTGCTTGTTTCGCGACCTTGTGAAGTTGGCTTAACTTTGATTCATATTTTCTTACTAACCAAGCAACATACATGAAACGAAATTCAGTTTTGGTCCTGACCCCGCTGTTTCTTGTTTGGAACGTGGCCCCCAGTTCACCACGTAAAGACCGAGCACAGCAAAAAAAAGAAAGGAGGAGGTAGGGAGGTCTGGAGTTCCTTAAAAAACTCTCGCAGTGTTTGTGTTTTAAGGTTTTATGCAGCAAGTCTGTTAGACGTACAGCATGCAGCTGTGGGCAAAATAGGAAGAAGAAAGCAATTTTCTTACACTCTGCCTTTTTTATTTTATTTAAACATATAGGGATGCACAAAACATTGAAAATAAAAACCACCTAAGAAAAGGCATTATACGATTTTTTTAAAAAATTGCATGGAGCAAAGTAACGCGTAAACATAAAATGCGTAGCAGGCAGGGATGGGAAGTGCTTCATTTTAAAAAACAAGGGAGCAGGGTGGTAATTTAATCCAGAACCGTCTTGATGACGTCGATTTAAATCTGGGTTCAGATCACCATTTTTGTGTCCGCTTGGGATTCGGCACGTTTTCACCCGAGGTCTTTTCTGTGTCAGGTGGACGCGAGGCAGTTCCCAGTCGCCGTGCATTTTAACAAGAGGACCCCGCTGGATGATTACAGCGGGGAATGTTTTCGGAAGGTCTGCAAAATCCACCGGATGCTCCCTCCAGGTCAGATGGCCGGTACAAAAACGGTCTCCTCAAGAGAAACCCAGAATGTTTGGTTTTGTCTGCAGGGAGTGGAGCAAAGCTCTCAGATAGCAGGAGCAGTGCATAGTTAACCCTGGGCCCATCGCTGTGAAGTTCTGACACCCCATAGATCTCTCTGGGTCCTACCCAAACCAGGCCCCCTAAGCTGGATGCCAACCCCCATCATGTCAGCCTGACTAGACAGGAGACACGACCAGATGAGCTAATTCTACTTCATTGTAAGGCTACATTAACAGAATCTTGCAAGTCATAAAGAAGAATTTTACCCCTCCCGGTCTCCTATACAGCCTGAGAAACTAGGGAGGGTCCCTTCTGAGCCTCTTTCTCCATCCATTATGCAGCTGTGGGCTATGCCCTCTCTTATCTGACCGTTCCCTGGCAGCATCTCTTTGCCCCGTCTCCCAAGGTCTTCCCTGCATACCATTATACATCATCACCAGCCAGGTCTTCCAGCATTCAGACATTTTGATATTCTGCCAAGGGAGCAGAAAGCTGTCACTTTTCAGGAACGGACGCTTATGCTCCTTGCAACTTTCCCTTTTGTGGTCCAGTTTAACGTTCCTTCTTTCCTTTTGCAGGGGGGATTTTGGTATTCCTAACTGGACAGGCTGAAGTCCACTCCCTGTGTCGGAGGCTAAGGAAGGCGTTTCCTTTTTGCAGAAATGCCGCCCCGGGTAAGTTTGGAGTTCTTGAGAATGACACCGGCGTCCTTCGATTAAGGCTTGCTCAAACAGCAGCACAGAAGAAGGCGCTCGGTCCTCGAGAATGCAGCCTTTTCTCCTCTCATTTGGGAGGGAGCAACCTGGGTCCATCCAGAGATTTTGGGTGTTAATTTGGCCACGGGATTGTGGGAGGTGTAAGCCCAAGCATCAGGAGGGCACCAGGTTATTTACCTGTGCTCTAAATTTCTGTAAGTAACCCGGTTTAGATCTTTAGGGATGGGTAGCTGTTTTGTCTCGCTTTCTTTCTATCAGGCAGAAAATGTAATGGTCTCAGAATAATTGATATTCCCCACTCTTTCACATCTCTGAGGTGACCCTGGTGTCCTGTGATAGGTGAACTTCATCAGGAAGTTCTGGGCCTATTGATCACTCCCTTAAATCGGCTTCTTGAACGGTTCATTCTAGAGCAGGGTTTCTCAATCTTGGCCACTTTAAGATGGGTGGATTTCAACTCCCAGAATTCCCCAGCCAGCATGGGTGGACTTCAACTCCCAGCATGCTGGCTGGGGAATTCTGGGA